ACTCATTCACTCATAACACCTGCTGTACTTTGGTCAAACATTGCTTACTTCAAAAGACAAGAAGATTCCTCACAAAATCTGGGAGGAGAAGAAAAAGAAGTGAAAGTAAATTAGCGCAGTTCCTGTCCCATGGGGTGGGAGGGGCAAAGGAGGAATTGCACTCTTCTACTGGGACGCCCCCTCTCCAGTGGAGAGGTCAGCAGGAATGGAGGGGGAACCTCTGAGGCTCAGCAGAGTGCGTAGCAGCCGCTTGGCTGACAGAGCTGAGGAAGCTCGCACAAAGAGTCCCTGTGATCCCTAGACCTAGACGCAAGCTAGCGGCGGGTGGGTGGGACTGGCTGCCGGAGCCCAGGCAGGGAGCTGGGCCGACTGCACAGAGGCAGCCTCAGGGGGCTGGAGTGTGCTGTGGGCTGTGTCCGGAATTGTATACAGAACAGAACAGCTTGGGAGCCGCATAAAAATAGCATGTTGTGAGCAGGGACCCAACACAGCTGAGCCATAGCCACTGAGCAGGCCCATGGCAGCATTGCTGGCGCCCTCTCTTGAGAAGAGAGGCAGGACTTAGCCATTGCGATCATATTCACTGGTGTGTGGCTTCCAGGCGGAGGTTGGGTTGAGACCTGAATCCATCCCCAGGGACTCCACAACCTCATAGGTGGGACTGAGATTTGTTAGAGCCCCAGGCGGAGGGGGGTCTGATTTGCTCCATGGGTGCCTTTGTGGACTCGCACCTCTAAGACAAACAAGTAAGGAGCAGAGTTCTGGCGCACAGCAGGGGCAAGTGCAGGAGCAGAGTCTTCAGCAGACCTGTGTACCGTCGTGGATGCGGCGCTGGGGGTGGTGCTGACCCCGTCGCGCACTGCGGATCCAGGTGTGGACTGCGTAATCTCTGGGTCCCAATGCGTAATATTGGCAGATCTGCACTGGTGGCTCTGTGACTGCATGGCTCTGAGATGAACAAGCAATGAGTGGAGTTCTGGCGCATCGCAGGGCTGAGTGCAGGAGCAGTGTTTTCAGTGGACCTGTATACTGCTTCGCGGATGCAGCACTGGGGACGAGCGCTTATCCGGTAGAAAACCGCGGATCGAGATGTGTGACTGCATGATCACTACAGCAGATCCTATTGCCTGATGTCAGAGGATCTGCATTGGTATCTCTGAGGGCAGAGAACCCGGGGGACACCAGAGCAGAGTACTGACACTCCTGCGGCTAAAGCAGGGACAAGGGCAGCATCAGCAAACTATGTGACTTGCTCCCACCACATCTGCCGCACACCACAGCTTAGAAGCAAGTCTGAGTGCCCCCATTCCAACAACCGGGGAGCAGACCCAGCCCCTGTCAGGGCTGCGACTATCACAGAATAAAAAGGGAGCCGGGCTGAGCAGTCAGAGCAGGCTCTGATGAACACAGCGCTGGCCACACCCCCAATCAAAGGGATGACAGCCAACACACATGGAAGAAAGACGTGGCAACCATCCATACTAAAAAAAGACCTCAGGGCAAAATTTAATTAGACTTACACAGTTTACACCAGAATGCTCCCTCTTTAAAAAAGAAAAAGCCCCTCAAGGCTACATTCATTGCAGAGCTGGTTTGTTGGTGCTGAATACTTCTAGCTTTTGTTTATCTGTAAAGATTTTGATTTCTTCATTAAATATGAATGAGAGCCTTGCTGGGTAGAGTGTTACTGGGTATAATTTTTTCCCGTTCATCACTGTAAATATGTCAGTGGCCTGTAGAGTTTCTACTGAAAAATCAGCTGACACTATAATTCTAAATTTTAAATTCAAATTTTAAATTTCACTAAATAATTGGCAGATAGGGGGATTCCAAATAATAAAAATGCAGGCTTTGTTAAATAGCGGTACTGGAGACTGAACCTAAGACCTTGTACATGTTAAACAAGCACTGTACCACTGAGCTATACTCACCTCCCTGAAAAGTGCACAATTTTTTGGTCACAAAGGTTCACAAATGTTAAGGATAATTTTGTACATTCCTACTTTGAATCAGAATAATTAAAAATACATGAATAGTTGTATATTAAATAAATATTCAAGGCACCTAAAATATGCCTATGTGACCTTGAAAATGTTTCTTCTTTTTGCTTTATGTTTCGATTTTATCATGTTTCAATTTGATTTTTTCACTTATAAAATAGTAATTAAAGAATTTTTAATGTTTCTGGAAGAGCAAATCCTTTTATGTTTTGAGAATACAAGAACATGTAACATTAAATTTTATAAATGTCAGTGGTAACATCAGATCCAGTATAAGAAAGTTGACTTTACAAATAAATTTTCAGGACACATACATTAATGTTCAATACCTTAATATTTCTCAGAGTCCCATATGTGTTTAGAGGGTCTGTAAAAGTTTACATATAGTGTTTTTCAATGAAAAGGATTTATGTTCTGCCTCTCTGTACATGCAGTACACAACACCTCATTTTTAGATGACTTATGTAAAATTTAGTTTGGCAATGATTAATTATATATTCACTATTCTCTATATAGAATATATAATGTATACTCTAAATTATTTATCTTTTTCATAGAAAGAGAATGCAGCATTCCCAAAATAGAAACATACTTAGATGTTTATCCAAAGGACAACAAATACAAAGTTGGAAATGTGTTGAAATTCTCCTGCAGAGAAAGACTTATAATGGTTGGAGCAGATTCAGTTCAGTGCTACCACTTTGGATGGTCCCCTGATATTCCAACCTGTAAAGGTAAATATTTGTAAATATTTATCTCAATATTGCTGGAACAAGAGTTAGAATTTTGGATATCAACCTTTTCTTCCCCTCTGTTAATTTTCTATCCACCTCCAGTGCACCTATAATCTAAGCTTTAAGCCAGAGGCATGCCCACCAGGGTCACGTGCTGAGTAGTCGATACCTCAGATTTCCGTATTTACCTCCAGGTGCTGCTTTAAATGTGTACTGAACGTATCCATAGATACATATAAACAGTCTAACACTGGAGGGACTTCTTTGTTAGTTTTCCTTTGCCTGCAATTCCACCATTAATATTGGACATTTTATGATACCATGGGCCTCACCTCAAGTTTCAAGTATATCTAAACAATATTCAAGAAGCATATAGTCCATTCAATCACATGTATGCCTGAATCAAAGTTAAAATTTGTTGTTCAGATGCTTTTCCCAAAGATCATATTTTTTCAAGAAGTTTTGATACAATGTTTCCATGGAATAAGAATATTACTTTAAATTGCACAGTCATATTGATTAATTGGTTTACATACATATAAAGAATATCCAGATTACTGAACGTGTTTTCTGGGCTTATGTAGACTTGTAACATGCTAATTCAGGATAAGTAACAGAACTAGGAAACATGAATCTGGTGTCACTATCATTCTTTATTTATCATTTAAGAATGCTAAAATAAATGATATAATAAATAATACACTAATTAGAGAAAAAATCTGCATTTGCTGGATTTTGAAGTTGTAAAATAGACAGTATAACTGTTATTTACATAATATTTCCACTGCAGGGCCAGTAAAACCGTGTGGTCCACCTCCTGTACTCCTCAATGGGGAAGTTAAAGACACACAGAAAGAAGAATATAGACACAGTGAGGTGGTGGAATATGTTTGCAGTCCTAGATTTCTAATGAAGGGATCTCATAAAATTCAATGTGTTGATGGAGAATGGACAGCTTTGCCTGTGTGTATTGGTAATGTATAAAAAATAGTAATATTTAAAGGTAAAGTAACACTTTTTGTTTGTATTCATATACACGCTTAAATGAGATTTTAAAGACAAAAATATTTTTGTGAAACTTTCACAGAGGAGACGAGTACCTGTGGAGACATACCCAACCTTGATCACGGCTCCGTCGGGCCTTCCGACCCTCCCTATCACCATGGAGACTCAGTGGAGTTCAGTTGCAGAGAAGCATTTACAATGATTGGACCCAGATCAATCACATGTATTAGCGGAAAGTGGACCCAGCTTCCTAAGTGCATTGGTGAGAATACACTTCTCAAATGGACATTTAATATGCTTCCTAAAGTGTAATATTTTGATTGCAAAAATTATATTTGCAACCATATTGTTGAATTTAGAGTTATCCTTGAAAATGTCAGATCTTAAATTATGTTGCCAAACATTTGTTGTTTGTAATTCCATGTGTGTCTAAAGAGGAAAAATATAAACTAACAATATAATTTTATGAATCTTTCTGTCCTGATATTAACATTGTTTATTTTTACAAGTATGAAGCTAAATCTTACTTATAGATATTCACATGATTAAAATATGAGTACTAATTACCAGGAAAAGATAACTATCTTTGCAGAAATACCATTTTTGTTTTTATATGCTACCCTTTCTTTCAGGACCTTTGAAACAAAAAATAAAGTTGAGAAAATACTCATTTGATACATTCCTACAGGAATTCTGCCTCTCTCAAAGCTTCTAACAATGATAATTTCTCAGTCTGTTTCAAACGCAGCAAAAAGAAGTTAATGTGCTAGAAGGCAGGTGGGCTCAGGCCCACTCCGTCAGTAGGCAGCTCAGTCCTAGGAGGCAGTCAGGGTTGGGCCAGGAAGCTGGCTTGGCTGATGCATTTCGCCCTAAGTGAGTCATCCCGACATGTGGATGACCGAACCTTTGACGACTGACTGGGACAATCATGACACCTTTCTGCACCTTTCCGTAAGAGTGAATTCTTTCCTAGAGTTTTTCTGGGTCCTGCGTTCCAAGAGAGTCCTGGGTGTGTCCGTCAGATTTCTAGTCATTAATTAGGACTTTATTAATAAGGAGGTCGGGCTTAGGCTCAGGCTCCATGAGAACAGGGATTCAGACCTGTTTTGTTCGCTGATACACTGCCAATACGCAGAACACCACCTGACATACAGGAGACATTCAGTAGGAGTGTGTTAAAGTAATTAATAGATTTTATTGCTTATTAATCCTTCCTTTTTTGCTGGACACATCCCTGTCCAAGGTATTGCCAGTTCTTCAAGACCAAACCTCATTTTTGTCCTCTTCTATCTCCACAAGTGACCTCATCTCATTTCATATGGGGGAAAAACCCAGGTAACATCCAGCATGAAAATTCCCAACTTTTCACTCTGAGTTATTCCAAAACATCTGCTTCAAATATTACCCTCCTGATCTCAGAGTTTTCCTTCCAAAGCGTAATCCTCTACCTACATTCAGCATAACATACTTCCCCTCAGCTATAATAGGATTTACTCCAATTTTCTTCTATCAATGTTTATTTTGTAACTCTATCTAGTCTAGCTTCCATTCTTTATTATGTTTATTTTCTCCTAAGAAGTAAGTCTGTTTTCCTTTCAGAAACCAGTCAATCATAGAACAATGACACACCTACCACTGCCCTTTTTGACTGTAGATCTTCCATCAGTCGCCATTCCTTGAATACTACCTGTTTTGTCTCCCTCAACACTCTGGGCAAATCCTAAAAATAGGACTAATTCTCAAGCCTCTAGTGTGTTTTAAATTTATCTCCTTTATTTCATTTTTTTCTCAGAGTTGCATTATGAAATCATTACTTTTCTTTGGCCAACTACTTGAGTTTTCTTTATTCTGTTTATCCTCACTTGACTCTGATCATTAACAAATCATTAACAAATACTACCAAAGACATCCAGTGATGCTTTGTCAGAATCAAAAAAAAACACAACCCTCCATCTGCACTGAATTTTTGAAATATGTAGTTATATAAAAAGCTTTTATAGTCCATACTTAACCTATACTGGAGCCAGCAAAACTTTGTTATTATGGCATGATAATATTATTGGATTATAGAAAGATCTGGTGAAGAACATGGCTTCTCAAAGATTGTAAGTATATATACAGAAAACAGGTTGTAACTTTACTCATTTTCTAGTTTCAAGTATCTGTAGTTTTTTGGTGATTGTGCAAAAGAGTTGGTTAAACATTAAGATTCTCTACAACACACCTTAGATGTATTATATTTCTTATTATTTATTCTTATTATTTATCTTATTATATTTCTTATTATATTTCATTACATTTCTTGAAAAAATATAAACTAGCAACTTGATACATCTGTGTCCACAGATAATTGTTTTTATTTTGATGTTTAAGATGAAGGGTTAAAAATAATGCAGACATGCTTGAGTTCAAGAACCAAGTGAATGTGAACATTTGCACATATTTCAAGCATAGGAACGAATTCAGTCACGTGATAACTATTCATTATGCAGATCATTCAAACAAGTTTCGATTCCAAATGCAGAATGTCTTTGGGATGGGTATTTTCTCTGAATTTTAAAAAAGTGGACATCGGACTCATGTTTATTCACAGTAGTCCATCTCAAGCAAAATGATCAGTAATAACTCGGTTGGTGGCATTCATAGGCATAAATTGTAATTTCACCATATTTTTTATTTCATAGATGTTTTTGTAAATAATTGCCTTGATTCTTATAATTAGTCTTTTCAAGGAAAAATGTTCATTTTATAGCAACAGATGAACTTGAGAGGTGTAAATGGTTAAAAATACCTGGATCTGAGACAAAACTACACGATAATGCTGAATTTGACCATAACACCAACCAAAGTTACAAATGTCGAGGAAAACCAGAACACAAATCCTCAGTCTGTATAAATGGAAGATGGGATCCTGAATTAACCTGTGAAGAAGGTAAACTCTTTTTTATAATATTTTCAAAAATTTCTTCTATTTCTTCCTAACTTGTAAAAGTAGTATCTTTGTGTCTTTTTTTTAAGTAGTATTAATCATTACAAATAATTTTCAAGCTGGAAGGTAATTTAGAAACTAACCACAATAGTTTCTAAATATTAACTGCGTTGTGCGTTAGTCAGCTGTGTAACAAACCACCCAGAAACTTGGTGGCTTAAATCAACACCTGGGCAGTAGGTGTGCTCATTACTCTGGGAAAACCATTGCTTTTGCTTTCTTACATTACACACAAATGTGCTCATGCCTATCCTAACTATTACATATTTATCCATGTATCTATTTAAGTATCAGTGTATCTGTGATAAGAAATATCTCCATTTTACCTAATTTATGAAATGATTAACGTACAGTCCTTCTAATCACTTAATATTATGTTTTCTTCTAACTTTATAGTGTATTTGATGATGTCACGTCTTTCATTCCTGGTTTTGATAGTTGTTTCTCTCTTATTTTGATTATTCTCCCTATGATTTTGGTTTTCAATATTATTAATATTTTCAAATGACCAATTTTAGCACTCTTAATTTTCTCCATTTCCTCTCTTCTCGAATTGTTTGCTTTGTTAATGTTCTGTTTTCTCTTTTCTATTCATCTTTCTCAGTTTTTTCTATTTTTTCTCTTTTGTGGACTTAATTTTGTTTCCTTCTAATTACTTAATTTTAATTTTACTCTCTCATTTCTTAAGACAGAAAATTAAAACATTGATTTAAACCATCCCAGTTTTTAAATATAAACCCCAGTGAACATATCTAATTCTTACCTTGGCCAAGAAGCTGTATCAAATTAATTGAACATTGACTAAGTGTAATTTCTCCTCTGGCAAGTCAGCTTCCATTCACAGATCACCTTGTGAGGGTTTTAATCTAATTCCAGTACATCTGATCATGAATATCTATAAAAAAAAAAGACCCTGGTATCAGTTTTTACTTAGAGCCTGTACTTGAGTGAGCAATTCAGTTAGAACATCCTAATGGTTAGAAATAATTAACGTAAGTTGTACATAAATCATACAACATTGACCACAGAAAGAATAAAAGAAACTACAAGTAAGACCATGAGACTATAAGCCAAGTGTGATATATTAAAGGGCTAAGTAAGCTTTAGAGTGTACCATATATAAACATCATTATTGTTTAATCACTTATGATATGTTATTACAGTTCTCTATTTATTGAAAATCATTCCTTTAATATTTCTAGCATGATTTTTAATCAAGAAATCTAATTTTAATATTTTTAGAAGCACAAGTACAATTATGCCCACCTCCTCCTCAGTTTCCCAATACTCGAAGTATGACAACTACAGTGAATTATCAGAATGGAGAAAAAGTATCTGTTCTCTGTCAAGAAAATTATATAAATCAAGATGCAGAAGAAATTGAGTGCAAAGATGGAAGATGGTGGTCAATCCCACATTGTGTTGGTCAGTAGTGCATAACTTGCTTTATAACATTCTTTTAAATATGATTAATATTCCTCTAAGCTTTGTAGAAATCAAGATTAAGGTCTATCTTTTCCACTTCATCTTTAAATAGTAAATCACAGTTTAAGTATATAAAGTAATAAATATTCTTCTACTCCTACTGTGAGGTAAATACAGGTAAAATCTTTGGGTTACTATGTAAATACCAGGTAAATTTTCAGCTTATGCATATTTTACTCCTCATGATCAAAAGGCCAAAAATAAAGGGGCATTTGGCCTCCTCAGCCAGGGCGTCATGCGCCTGGAAGATGAGCCCTCAGAGTGTCTGACTTAGAAGTCAAGAGTTTCTTGCATACAGGAAAGCCAGAGGGCTGTAGCAAACAGAGATTCTGTTCTTAAAAGGCACACAAAAAATCTCACATGCTCCACATCCCAGTGCAGGGGCAGTAATTGGACAGAAGCCTGAGTTAGACTGACTTGCTGCTCTTTGTGAACCTCTCAGGGAGGCTAAGGCAACCGGGGACATAGATGCTAGTGCCAGACATTATGGGAGCTCATTCTACCATGAAGAAACCATGCCAGCAAATGCCCATTGGAGTTCTCCTTCCAGCTTATTAGCACGAGGGGCTGACCAACCACAAGGCAACAGCACCAAACCCAGGCCTCTCTGGGTCCCACAGCTGCTGAATTAGGACCTGGCCCTGCCCACGTATGGAATAGCACCAACCTGGGTACCCCTGGGCTCTGCAGCCAGCTTCTCCAGAACTTGGTCCTGCAACCAGTGTGCTGGCAGTCACTACATTAAGCAGAGTGTGAGAGCCAACCAGGTAGGGAGTTAGACCTGCCTACCGGTGCACCCACAGTGGTTGGCCCCACAACAACAGAAGAGCACTCCTCAGCACGTAGATCTGGTGTATAGATCTTACAGAAAGGAGCATGCTGCTAGGCCCCACAGAATTTTCCTACATAAGGCCACTTCTCCAAGATTGGGAAATTTATCTGACCTAATGGCATATAAATGAACACAGAGAACTAGGCAAAATGAGGAGACAGGAATATATTCCAAATGAAGGAACAAGAAAAAAATCTCAGAAAAAGAACTGAACAAGTGGAAATAAGCAATCTACCTGATAAAGAGTTAAGATAATGACCATAAAGATGCTTAATGAACTCCAGAGAAGAATGGATGAACACAGTGAGAATTTTAACAAAAAGTTAGAAAATATAAAGAAAAACTAAACATAGCCGAAGAATACAATAGCTCAAATGAAAAATACACTAGAGGGAATTATCAGCAGATTAGAGGATTCAGATGAATAGATCAGTGATCTGGAAGACAAGGTAGTGGAAATCACCCAAACAGCACAGCAAAAAGAAACAAGAATTTTAAAAAATGAGTCTCACTTAAGGGACATCAGTGACAACATACAGTGTGCTAAAATTTTTCACTAAGGGGTTCCCAGAGGGAGAGAAAAAGAGAGAATTTATTTGAAGAAATAATAGCTAAACACTTTCTCACCTGAGGAAGGAAACAGACTTCCAGGTCTGGAAATCCCAGAGAGTCCCAAACAAGATAAACCCAAAGGTGTCCACATGAGGACACATTATAATTTAAATGGTAAAAACTAAAAATACAGAACCTTAGGTCTTCTGCCCATTTTTGGATTGGGTTGTTTGTTTTTTTCTTATTATGTTTTATGAGCTGCTTATATATTCTGGAGATCAAACCTTTGTCAGTTTCATTGGTTGCAAAAATTTTCTCCCATTCCGTAGGTTGTCACTTTGTTTTACTTATGGTTTCATTTGCTGTGCAGAAGCTTGTAAGTTTAATTAGATCCTATTTGTTTATTCTTGCTTTTATTTCTATTGCTTGGGTAGACTGCCCTAGGAGGACATTGCTAAGATGTATGTGAGATAATGTTTTCCCTGTATTTTCTCCAATGAAGACATACAAATGATCAATAGGAACATGAAAAAATGCTCAGTATCACTAATTATCAGAGAAATGCAAATCAAAACTACAATGAGGTATCACCTCACACCAGTCAGAATGGCCATCATTCAAAAGTCCACAAATGACAAATGCTGGAAAGGCTGTGGGGAAAAGGGAACCCTCCTACACTACTGGTGGGAATGCAGTTTGGTGCAGCCACTATGGAAAACAGTATGGAGATTCCTCAGAAGACTAGGAATAGATTTACTGTATGACCCAGGAATCCTGCTCCTGGGCATATATCCAGAAGGAACCCTACTTGAAAAAGACACCTGCAGCCCAATGTTCATAGCAGCACTATTTACAATAGCCAAGACAGGGAAACAGCCTAAATGTCCATCAACAGATGACTGGATAAAGAAGAGGTGGTATATTTATACAATGGAATACTATTCAGCCACAAAAACCGACAACATAACACCATTCGCAGCAACATAGACGTCCCTGGAGAATGTCATTCTAAGTGAAGTAAGCCAGAAAGAGAAAGAAAAATACCATATGAGATTTCTCATATGTGGAATCTAAAAAAAAAAAAAGAACATAAATACAAAACAGAAACAGACTCATAGACATAGAATACAAACTGGTGGTTGCCAATGGGGTGGGGGATGGGAAGGGACAGACTGGGATTTCAAAGTGTAGAACAGATAAACAAGATTATACTGTATAGGACAGGGAAATACATACAAGAACTTGTGGTAGCTCACAGCGAAAAATAATGTGACAATGAATATATATATGTTCATGTATAACTGAAAAATTGTGCTCTACACTGGAATTTGACACAACATTGTTAAATGACTAGAACTCAATTAAAAATGTAAAAAATAAGGACACAGAAAGGAAGAAAAAGTAAGCAACACTGTAAAAAAAACAATAGAGAAACTTAAAAGCAGCATGAGAAAAGCCACTAGTTACATATAAGGGAGCTCCTTTAAGACCATGAGCAGACTTTTCAGCAGAAACTTTGGCAGGCCACAAGAGAGTGGCATGACAATCAAAGGGATGAAAGGAAAAAATTTATAACCAAGAATACTCTATCCAGCAAGGCTATCATTCAGATCAGGATAGATCAACAGTTTACGGATGAGCAAATTATAAGAGAGTCTAGCAGCACTAAACTGACTTTACAAGAAATGTTAGAGGATCTTCTCTAAGAGGAAAAGAACACCACAACTAGAAACAAGAAAATTATAAAAGAAAAACTCTCATTGATAAAAGCAAACATACAGTAACTATAGTAGATTAATAACTTATGAAGCTAGTAGGAAAGTTAACAGACAACAGTAGTAAAATCATCTGTATCTGCAATAAATAGTTAGTGGAAACATGAAACAAAGCATATAAAATATAATGAGGGGAGTAGAAATGCAGGGTTGTTAAAATGTATTTGAATTTAAGAGATTATCAACTTAAAATAATCACATATGTATATAGCTTGTTATATATGAATTTCGTAATAATCACAGACCAAAAATGTGAAATGGATACATGCACACAGAAAAAGAGGAATCAAAACATAACACTAAAGATAGCTATCAAATCACAAAGAGATAAAAAGAAGAAACAAACAAACAAACAAAACCCCAACCACAACTTAAAAATAATTAACAAAATGGCCATAGGTACATACTTTTTTTACTTTAAATATAAATGGACAAAATGCACCAATCAAAAGTGGATAAAAAAACAAGACCCATATATGTGCTACCTACAAAACCCACTTCAGATCGAAAGACACACTCAGACTGAAAGTGAGGGAATGGAAAAGATATTCCATAAAAATGGAAATGAAAGAACATAATAAAGGCCATATATGAGAAATCTACAGCCAACATCATACTCAACAGTGAAAAGCTGAAAGCATTTCCTCCAA